TTTTTTCAAGTAAGCAACGCACCCACGGTAGCGACCAGTCATTGATGGTGCTCCATCAGTTGCACAAGCTAGTATGTTGGTAAGTGGAATTTCCTTGTCTTTGAAAAACTGCTCAACAAGATGAAATACTGACTCCCCTTTAGTATCTGTTTTTAGTTGCCTCGCAAATAACAACTCTTGAGTCAAACTTTCGTCTTTAATAAAGCGCACATAAGCAAGAAGCAAAGATTCATTGCCTGGCAAAGTTGATTCATCCAGCTGTAATGCAAAGTCTGTTGTCCGTAGTATGCTGCACAATACATCTTCCACATTCTCAGCCATTTCATCTATGCATCTTTGCACTGAATTGTTGCTGAGAGGAATTGTCTTAATTATATCATGTGGTGACTTATGCAAAACAATACTCAGAACCTCACTAATGGCTGGTAGGATGAGTTTTTCACCAATAGTATGTGGCTTTCCAGACTTAGCAATCAGCATTGAAATGTTGTATGATGCACGCAAACCATCAGTGTTTTGTTGGGAAGCATTGTGAAACATGCGTGACAGTGTTGGGTGCTTTTACAAGTTGTCATGAAATGATTGAAAAAAAAGTTAGATTCTTGTCTGCCTTGTCAGGATGTGCCTTCTTCAAATGTTCATTCAGTCTGGAAGGCTTCATTGTCTCATTAGAAAATACTTTTCCACATAGTAGGCACCGTGGCAGTTGCTGGTTTGATGGTGCTGGTATAAATCCATACTTCATATATTCCACACTATATTGTCTACATTTCTTCTTTGATTTTTATGCTTCTGCCATTTCTGCTCTGAAAATCAGAATACTTACAATATGTGTGTGTTCACATCTGGCTTAAGGCTTTGCTAAATGAATAAATAAACCCTACTAACTCCCTGCCTGCCTTCTCTGTGCAAATAAACCAGGATGTTGCTCTTTACTCTGCAGCAAAGCAAAGATTCTGGATTGGGATTCTGAAGCATGAAGAGATGACCAATTAAATAAAGTTTCATTTTACAAAGTCATTGTGGGCACATTGTTTGCATTGGTGTAATTAACAAAGCACCAACATTTGCTTGAATTATTTGATGAGATTATTGCATGGTAGCTAGGGATTCTCAATATGGAAACTGAGAATGGGAACATTTTAACAGATCTATATGTTTTTGGGTTATAATTTTCACCAAAGAATCATGGGGATGGAAAGGGAAATATAGACAATGGAGTCCAATCCCCTTCCTCAACAGATTGGAAGCAAAGAATAACTGTAGCAAAATGTAGCCTTTTACCTCTTTGGGGAATCATTTTATTTTTTTATTTATTATTTTTCCCCCCAATACAACTCATGCAAAGGGTCATCCACATGTACATTACATTTTTCACACTTTCCCAGACGGAGGGAAATAGTTTAGAAAAAAAGAAAAACTTTTTCCCTCCTCCTGACTGCTCTGTTGCCTCCCTCCTCTGCCCTGGATTTTAAACTGAATGATAGTCTCAGCTCTGCAAGGGAGAGCCCAGATGGAGGGAAATAGCTTGGGAAAGAATAGATACCTTGGCTGGGGAGTGGGGAGGTAGCTAGAATAGAAGCAAAGGAAGACTCAGCGGGCAGAGATCTGCTGGGCTGTGTGGTTGAGATAAGTGAGGGAGCAGGGAGCAGCAGCAGCAGCAGCAGCACCTGTGCCTCTAGGCAGGTGAGGTATGAAAAGGATGAGTGGGAGGGGCTGGAGATGAGGCAGAGCCAGTCAGTGGTGCATTTTACCGGTTCTCTGAACTGCCTATAATTTATCCTACCATTCAGGAGAACCGGTCAGAACCAGGTGAATTTCACTCCTGCCGGAAGTGCTCAGCTGCCTGGCGGCCAATAGAGCCCCAGGCAGAATTTCACCCTGCAAGGGGGCCACCTCCAGCACTCCTCTGCCACCTCCCTTTCCTCTTAGTGCCCCCTGCCACCCTCCTTGCTTCTTAGCCCCCCCTAAGTAATCCCATCCCCCTCAGGGGGCGGTACCACCCACTTTGAGAACCACTGATCCAGAGTATAATTGATTTTGAAAATCAGAATAGAATTAGGCAGATTGAAAGAGAAACCTTCACATAATTATTCTAGCTGCTGAGATTGTGGGTAAAATTATGAGGAGATACTGATGTACTGCACAATTCTAAACAGAGACATCTTTTTTTATTTTTAGTATTCATTGTTCTCTATATGCTGTATACATTGTTCTCTATAATTTTTCTGTGAAAACATGGATTTGGATGTTAATTACCCACGGAAAGCTTCATAATCAAAGTTTTATAAAGTGCTTTGCTTGTTATGGTAAAAATATCTCTAAATATTTCAATATATCCACTTCATGGATTACTGCCTTGTCATGGCAAAGGGGCTTGTGTAGCTCAATGAAGCTATGAACTATGCCATGCAGGGCCATCCAAGGTGGACAGGTTGTATTAGAGAGCTCTGACAAAACGTGATTCACTGGAGAAGGAAATGGCAACCCACTCCAGTATCTTTGCCATGAAAA